GGGGTTTCACCATGTTGACCAGGATGGTCTCGATCTCTTGACCTCGTGATCCACCCGCCTCGGCCTCCCAAAGTACTGGGATTACAGGCGTGAGCCACCGCGCCTGGCCAGTATGTAGAATTCTTAACTAAATGAATGTCTGTGGGGAGCTTAGAACATTGCCCAGTATATAGTAACCTCTCAACTCTTACCTTATAAATTAATAGTATCTTATAATTTTGTCTAGATAAGTGTGAAGGTTAATGATAATGTGTTCTTTATGTTCATTTTCTTTCTTTTCCTTTTCTTTTTTCTTTTGCTTCCTTCTTTCATGTGGATTTTTTTCCCCACACTTGTAAATTATATATATTTAAGGGATACATCCTGATAATTTGATTTTATATATGTATATGTTGTATAATGATTAATACAATGAAATTAATTAACACATTAATCATCTCATATAGTTGCCAGGTTTTTGTGGAGAGGACATTTAAAATCTACTGTGTTAGCAAATCTCAAGTATACAAGAGTATTGTAAACTGTATTCACAGTGCTATACATCAGATCCCCACAATTTATCTTTTAAATGAAAGTTTGTACTCTTTGACCAGAGTATCCCCATTTTTACCACCTCTCAGCTATGGGAACCTATTGTTCTACATTTTGCTTCTATGAGTTCAACTTTTTAAGATTCCACAAATAACTGATATTATACAGTGTTTGTGTTTCTCTATCTTATTCATTTACCATAATGTCCACCTGGTTCATTCATCCTTGTTGTCAGAAATGGTAGGATTACCTTCTTCATTATGCTGAATAATATTCCACTATATATTTTGTATAATCAGCTATCAACATAGGGGTACAGATATCTCCTTAACATACTGATTTTATTTATTTATTTTTGAGATGGAGTCTCACTTTGTTACACAGGCTGGAGTGCAGTGGTGCCATCTTGGCTCATTATAACCTCTGCTTCCCTGGTTCCAAGCGATTTTGGTGCTTCAGCCTCCTGAGTAACTGGGATTACATGTGTGTGCCACTTCGCCTGGGTAATTTTTTTGTATTTTTAGTAGAGATGGGGTTTCCCCATGTTGGCCAGGCTGATCTCAAACTCCTGGCCTCAAGTGATCTGCCTGCCTTGGCCTCCCAAAGTGCTGGGATTACAGACGTGAGCCACTGAGCCCGCCAGATTGTATTTCTTTTAGGTATATACTTAGAAATGGGATTGAAGGTTCATATGGTACTTCTGTTTTTAATTTTTTGAGGAGCCTCCATCCTTTTTCCCATAATGGCTGGATCAATTTACATTTCCACCAACAGTGTATGCGGTTTCCTTTTCTCCACAGTCACCAACATTTGTGATCTCTTGTGTCTTTGATGATAGCCATTCTAACAGTATGAGGTGATATCTCATGATTTGATATCTCATTGTGGTACCTCTCTGTAAATGTGAGATGATGTCTCATTGAGGTTTGATGTGCATTTCCCTGATGATTAATTATGTTGAGCACCTTTTCTTAAACCTGTTTGCCACTTTTATGCCATCCTTGGAAAAATTTCTAATCAGGTCCTTTGCATATTTTTAAGTCAGATTGACTATTTTTGGCAATTGAGTTATGTGAGATTCTTATGTATTTTGGATATGAAACTCTGATTAGATAGAGTTTCTCCCAGTCCTTAGGCCGGACCTTAGGTTGCTTTTTCATGTTGTTCTTTGTTTCCTTTGCTGTGCAGACACTTTTAGTTTGATAGAGTCCCACTTGTTTTTGTTTTTTGATTTTGTTGATTGCGCTTTTTTGGTGTAAAATTGAAAAAATCAGTACCAAGTCTGATGTCAAAGAGCTTGTTCCTGTGTTTCTTCTAAAAATTATACAGATTCTGGTTTTACATTGAAATGTTAATTTTTTTTCAGTTCATTTTTGTATATAGCATAAATGTTCAGTTTCATCTTTTTGCTCATGAATATCCATCTTTTCCAGCATCATTTATTGAAGAGACTGTACTTTTCCCTTTGTGTATCTTGGTGCCCTTGTCAAAGATTACTAACTGTATACACATGGGTTTATTTTTGGTTTCCTTATTCTGTCCCATTGGTCTATGTGTCTTTTTAGGTCAGTGTAATACTCACGGTTAGTATAGCTTTGTAATAGTTTGGAATGAAGACATGTGATGCCTTCAGCTTTATTCTTCTTTCTTATGATTGTGTTGGCTATTTGTAGTCATTTGTGGTTTTATAGAACTTTGAACGCCAGATGCAGGGACTCACACCTGTAACCCCAGCACTTTGGAAGACTAAAGCAGGTGGATCACTTGAGGCCAGGAGCTCAAGACCAGCCTGGCCAACATGGTGAAACCCCATCTCTACTAAAAATATAAAAATTAGCCAGGTGTGTGGTGGTGCATACCTGTAATGCCAGCTACTGGGAGGCTGAGGCAAGAGAATTGCTTGAACCCAGGAGGCAGAGGTTGCAGTGAGCCACAATCATGCCAGTGCACTCCAGCCTGGGCAGCAGCAAGACTCTGTCTCAAAAACTATATTAAAAAAAAATTTTTAGAATTTATTTATATTTCTTTGAAAACTGACACTGGAATTTTAATAGGGATTACATTGTATCTGTAGATCACTTTGTGTAATGTGGACATTTTATTAATATTAATTTTTCCAGTCCATGAACAAGGAATATCTTTCCATTTATTTGTGTCTTTTTAAATTACATTCATCAGTGTCTCATAGATTTTACTGAGCAGATCTTTCACCTCCTTTGTTAAATAGAGTCATATGAATTTTATACTTTTTGATGCTATTATAAATTGGATTGTTAACTTTTTTTCTCAGATCATTTATTGTTAGTATATAGAAATGCAACTAATCTTTGCATGTTAATTTTGTGACCTCAACTTTACTGAATGGGTGTATTAGCTCTATCTCTTTTTGTGTGCTCTTGAGGGTTTTCTATATGTAAAATCACCTAGTTTGCAAGCAGAGAGAATTTTAATTCTTCATTGCTGATGTAAGTACCTTTTATTTCTTTTTCTTAATTGCTTTTCTTGCAGGGCAGGTAAGCCTCCAAATTGGGGCTTATCCTGGCAAGGTTCATGGCTTCACTCAGGAAGAATTGAAGCACAAGCTAGTGGTAGAAGAAAGCAGCTTTATTGAGCTGGCAGTGTTGCAGCTCTGTGACTGCTCCTGCGGAACAAGGCTCCCCTGTAGGCAGTGTGCTGAGAGGAGCAGTTCTGCAGCCGTGTACTTACATGCCCACTTTTCCTTACATGCAAACTAAGGGGCAGTGGCAGTGTTTTTTCCCTTCAATTATTTAGAAGAATTTGAGAAGGATTGACATTAATTCATCTTTAAATGTGTGATACATGTCACCCATGAAGTCATTTGGTCATGGACTTTTTCTCATTGGATTTTTTTTTATTACTGCTTCAATCTCCTTTCTTATTACTGGTCAGTTCAGTATTTCTGTTTCTTCATGATTTAATCTTGGTCAGTCACTGATTTCTAAGAATCTATTTCTTCTAAGTTATCTGATTTGTTATCCTGTAATTGTTCATAGCAGTCTCTTATTCTTTGTGTGGTATCAGTTGTAGTGACTCATCTTTTATTTATTTATTTATTTATTTATTTATTTATTTCTGATGGCCAGGCCAAAGTGCAGTGGCATGATCATGACTCACTGTGGCCTCAACCTCCTGGGTTCAGTGATTCTCCCATCTCCCAAGTAGCCAGGACTACAGGTGCATACCACCATGCTCAGCTAATTTTTGTAATTTTTGGAGAGAGGGGTTTTACCATGTTGCCCAGGCTGGTCTCCAACTTGTGGGCTCAAGTGATTTACCCACCATGGCCTCCCAAAGTGCTGGGATTATAAGCATGAGCAAGCGTACCCAGCCATTTGTAATTTTTTGAGTCCTCTCTTTGTTCCTCTGCTTAATCTGGCCAAAAGTTTCTCAATTTTGTTTTCTTTAAAAAACTCCATTCAGTTTCTTTGATCTTTTCTGTTGTCTTTCTAGTCTCTATTTAGTCTCTTTTTATTCTAATTCTTATTATTTCCATAATCATGCTAACATTGAGATTATTTTATTTTTCTTGTTCAAGATTCTTGAGGATTAAAGTTAGAGTGC